CTTGTGGCAAATTTATAAATAATTTTTAAAATATCCTTGTAAAGCCACCATGTGGTATGGTGGGTAAGGCACTGAATCCACACAGCCAGCTCTGTGGTTTTGTGTCCCAGATATGGTGGCTCAAAAAACACATTGGATGCATGCGTGTACGTGACCAAAATTCTGAGAGAATGAAGGAGGCAGGATTGTGTTGTGTCCATAAATACTCGGAAAATGATTTGTCACTTTCTCTCTCTCTCTGGTAGTGCCTTATCCTAAGGTAAAAATCTGAAAAAAAAAAAAAAAAACCAAAAAACAAAATCCATGCATTGACTTTCCTTTTTTTTTTTTTTTTTTTTTTTGAGAGCTTTATGCTATAGTGCACGAGTGCTCACCAGAAAGACAGAGACAGAGAGACAGAAAGCGAGAAATAACTCCCCAAAGGGGATGGCCATGCCACAATCCCTTCTCCTCCATTCTCTTCTCAGGATCTTGGGCACACACACACATGCGCCTGGCATGAGTTTAAGCCACTGGGTCCGGGACTGGAACCATGGTCATGGCTTTTTAAGATATGCATTTCCAATTAACTCGTTGAAGATCCCTCATATTAATTAATTCTACTTCAGTTTTTTCCCCTTTGTTCCCCAAGTACATATAATTCTGAGAGTCTGTCATCATATAGAACTGAGAATACATAAAATAAATTAAACATTATCCTATGTATTTTTCATGATATTTTTTCAATTAATGCTTCTTGTGTACCCATTTTTATTTCCATCCATAGTTAAGGAGAGGTAAGCCAGAGAACGTAGCACACTGAGGCATAGAGAGGGAGGGCGCAGCCAGGATAGGAATGGAAGCATAGAGACTTTGGTGGACACAGTCTTGGCCTCCACACACTCTTTTTCTTTTCATATTATTTTCATCCATTTTTAGATGCAAACATCATAACCACTTATTTTCATGGTGAATACACTCACTAAATACATTGCTGTCCTACTCAGTATCTTCTCATTACTGATCGTAGATCATGATTGGAAAGGGTAATGCTATATACATTTTGTGGGTTATGATCTTTGTTTTCTCCTCACCTCCAATGGGGCACCTGTGACTACTGCACCTTGGACACTCAGGTACTGCCTGCTCTTAGTAGAGCAGAACTGGTCTAACCAAGGTGACAGAGTTGAGGTCAGCAACTAGAATGGGCAGGATAGATGGCACTCTTTTATATACTTGTTTGTAGATGTATGAGTCTGATATCATGGAGATAAGCTTAAGGTAGTTATTTAAACTCAAATTAATAAAAGTTAAGAAAAGTTAAAATGCTGTTTCATCTGTCAGATTAACCACTTCTCATGTCCACATGTGACCAGTGGCAGCCATATTGTCCAACCCAGATAAGGAGCATTCTGTCATGTTGGGAAGTTCTTTTGGGTAGAGGAGGTGTTCTTATGAACTGATGATGAAAATGGTCTTATTTTTAGAATATATTGCATAAGAAATAAAACATAGGTAAACAAAAAACTGAAGAAAAAAGGTTCATAGCAGCAATGTTTATAAAGGGGGAAAAAAGGACACTAGTCAAATATCCACCAGTTGATGACTGTATTAGCAAAATATGGTGGACTCATATCATGTACTCTTAAAATATTCACCATAAATGTGTTGTAAAATAAATTCCTGAAGTATTGGCAAAAACTCTAATAATAGACAAAGTGATGTTATTCTAACAAAAAATCTTTCTGTCCAGTGAATAAAACAGTCAATAGAGTAAAAACAAAAACAAAAACAAAACAAAACAAAAAACTACAGTATGGGGAAAATGTTAGCAAACTATTTATGTGACAGAAATGAATATCCAGAGTATAAAAGGAACTCACATAGCTCGCCAATAAAAGGACCAAATTAAAAATAGTCAAACGATCTGAGTTGACAATTCTCCATGAAAGATAGACAAATGGAAAACAGTATTTAAAGAAAGTTTCAACATCACTAATCATAAGAGATATGTAAGTCAAAACCACAAGAAGCTATCGACTCACCATAGAATGACTTTTATAAAGGACACAAAGAATAACAAGAAGGGAAAGTATATGGAGAAAGGGGAATCCTTGTGCACGTGTAGAGGGAATGTAGTGGGTTGTCAGAAAAGTCATGATACATTTCTTACCTAAAAAAACATAGAAAAATATGTCATGATTTTTTAGGCAGTCCCCCAAATTAGTACCATCACTGTATACAACAGTATGGATTTTTAAATGTGAGATGTGTCCTGGTGTGTTCAGGGAAATTAAGCTCTAAACTCCATCTTCTAGACTCCTGAAATACTTAGACAAAGTAGGGTGACCTCTGTCCTCTCTTTGCCTCTGTCTATCTGTCTGTCTGTCTTGTGCACACACACTCTCTCTCTCTCCCTCTAAATTATTTATTTATTTATTTATTTTTAGACTACTTCTTATCTTGAGGCTTTTCATTCTCTTGCTAATTTCAGAAGCCATTTTAAATCTGAGGTGTGTTTTGGCACATTCAGGGAAGATATGCTCTAAACTCCATCTCCCAGACTCTCAAAATGCTCAGACAAGGTGGAGTGACCTCTATTCTCTCTCTGTCTCTCTGTCTAGCTGTCTATCTTGTGTGCTAGCTCTCTCTCTTTAAATTTTTTTATTTTATTATTTTTTAAACATTTGAAACCATTTCTCATCAACTCAGGCTTTTTCATTCTCTTGCTCATTTCATAAGCCATTTTAAATCTGATGTGTGTCCTGATGATTTAATTTTTCACTTTTAATTTTTTTCTCTTTTTTTGGTAATTTTTATCTAGTTTTCTTTTCCTTTTATTTTTTTAAACCTTGCTTTCCCACCCTGCTCTTCACTCTCCAGACATTGAATGTCTAGTTAAACCTAGGTGCATAGTAGCCAAGCATCTCAATACTTTTAGAATCATTGAAATCCTCAATTCTATTAACCCTCCTGCTTTAAGGAAGAAACTTCTTTTTATAAATCTGAGCTCATAATCTCCTTTGGTGGATACTATGTTGCAAAGCACAGTACAGGAGAGATTCTGTTGCAGAATACCAGAAACCACTGCAGAGGCACAAGAAATATGAGAAACCAAGAAAATATCTTTCTCCTAAGGGAAAATAACAATCCTTCATCATCCACAGACAGTACAGTAGAACTTGTAGAAATGCCCAATAGAGAATTCAGGATATTCACATTGACAAAAGTAAATGAGATGCAAGAGCTGAGAGATAACACACTCCAGAATATGCAGGAGAAAAGAGACAATGAGTTCCAGGAGGTGCAGAAGTTCTTGCATAATCTGAAAGAGGAAATACACACTATAAAAAAGAATCGAATGGAGCTATTAGAGATGATGGCTGCAATTCAGGAAATCAAAACCTCTCTCGAAAATATTAAAAGTGGATTAGTCCATGCAGAAGATTGGATTGGATGTTGAAGGGAAAAACCTCTGATATAGAAAAAAAAAACCCCAAAAATCGAGAAGATAACCCCCCTAAATGAGAATACTATACAAGAACTACTAGACACCATTAAGCACACAAACATTGATAATCTATTCATGAAATCCTGGAAAAAAACCTTCCAAATCTAGAAAGGCATTCAAATATCCAGACCCAAGAAATACAAAGGACCCCTAGTAAAAGCAATCAAAGAAGATGTTCTCCAAGGCACATCATAGTCAGATTGGCCAAATCCACAAAGACATGATACTAAAATTGACAAGAGAGAAGTATCATGTTACTTATACAGGTTGTCCCATCAGGCTACTATCAGACCTCCCATCAGATACAATGTGAGCAAGAAAGAATGTGAAAATATATTCAAAGTGTTCAGTAAAAAACAGTGTCAACCAAG